AAATATATTATATAAATATACAAATATTAAATATATTTATTAGATTACAAGTTAATATGTAAAAATTTGAGTTATTACATTTTAATTCAAATGTATCAGGTTGGTGTATCACGCTTAATAAGACGACCAATATTTAAAAAACGATATTAGAAATAATTCTTTTATGTCAAATAGTTTTTTTACAAATGGAATACTTGTAATGTTTAACCGCAAATTGGCAGGCAACATGTGATAATACTTTAGTATAAACTGTAAAATCCGAACATAATTATCTACATATGACCCTAACTATTGTTTGATTATATTAAAGAGCTGCGCACCCTACCGTAGCATGCCTGTTCGTGCCTAAATTATTTTTAGAAAATTGCATTTTCGGCAAACATTTCGGCATTGCTACATTCTTTATATGAAACCCTCTGAAATAACTATACAATATGACGTATTTTGATGAGAGGAATTTAATGAATTTCGGCAATAATTTCGGTAAATATGGAAATTAATTTCAATTTATGAAAGACTAATTTCGGGTGACTAAATTACCTTACTAGTACCAAATTAAGCAATTAAGCGACTAATTAAATCGTACTTATCTAGTTTATGCGCTCGTTCATATTGGATCATTTGCATGCTTAATTAGGTTTGATGGTTCAGATTCTACATAACCGAATTGCTTCATATCCCTACTTAGCTATCTTTCAATGAAAACTTTTTCAAACGGAAATTTTTTTCCGTCTCTAGAATATCACATAAAAACGACATGGCTGAACAGTCATCAATTCAACTAACTAGCAATTTTAATCAATTGAGTATTGAGTTTCATTAATTGTCAAAAACTAGCAGATATGAATACTTCAGATGAAATATTCATGCTTGGTTATTGCTACGAACATGGAATTGATATTGAAAAAGATGTGTATAAGGCATTCGTTCACTATCAAAAATCAGCGAATATGAATAATTCTAGCGGTATATTTCAAGTTGGTTTTTGCTATTATTATGGGATTGGAGTTGAAATGGACAAACACCAAGCATTTGAACATTACCGAAAATCAGCTGAAATGAATAATTCTAATGGAACCTTTAAAACAGCTATTTGTTACAAATATGGAATTGGAGTGGAAGAGAATGAAGATAAATTTAAGGAATGGATAGAAAAGGATCCCATTTCTCGTGACTCTTATTTTCGTCGTGACCCTCATTTCTCCTCTCATGACCCTTTTGACTCTTTTTTATCCTTAACATCTCGGAATCCAAAATATGGCAAATGTACACATTGTAATGAAAACAACACGTCTTTTGCATGGTGTCTAACATGTGATCCAGACATGACAACTCAAGGATGGACAAGTAGAGACAAGAATATTGATGACTGCATCAAAAATTTTCAGCTTAGAACCATTAATTATGAGAATGCAATTGAATGGATTCCATTTAATAGATTATCTAATATTAAAATAATTGGCAAAGGAGGATTTGGCTCAGTATATTCAGCAACCTGGTTAGATGGCATACGAGAAACTGATGGTGATGAATATAATTATGTAAAAACACGTGAATCATCCAGCACCGTTGCGCTCAAGACTTTGTTCAATTGTAAGGAAAACAGTTTGAATTTTTTGAAAGAATTTAAAAATCATATGATATGTCATTTTAGTTCTATTCATCTTAAAATATATGGAATAACTCAAAATACAAAAACAAATGAATACATGATGGTAATTCAGTATGCTAATAATGGAAGTCTTTATAAATATTTAAGAAAAAATTTTAATGAACTTACATGGAAAGCTAAATTACAATTACTTCAAGAAATTTCATTTGAATTAGATAATTTTCACAGATACACAGGATATGTTCATGCAGATTTTCACAGTGGTAATATATTGCAAGACCAACGCACTAAGCAATCTTATATCGCAGACCTAGGATTATCCACAAAGAAGGAAGAAATTGTTTCAGAAGGCGATATTTATGGGGTCATGCCCTATGTTGCGCCGGAAGTTTTATCAGGCCAACAACAGTTTACTCAAAAAGCTGATATTTATAGTTTCGGAGTTATATTGGCAGAAATGTCAACTGGGCAAAGACCTTTTGATGGGCATGAATTTGATCTTAAACTTGCTCTTGATATCTGCATTAATGAATTGCGACCGGAATTTGCACCTAAAACTCCCAATTGCTATGTTGAATTGGCAAAACAGTGTATGAATTCCGATCCACATAAACGACCTGATGGTTGGGATATTTGGGAAAAAATCACTGATTGGTTTGTATGGATGAGTTCGGATGAAGAAAATAAAATCAAAAGGCAGTTTTTAGATGCAGACAAAATGATTAAAACCTTGACAACAATCTCGCCAAGCCATTCAGATCATATGTACACTAGTAAACGTATTAGCACAAAAACAATTTCAAATGCAATTAAAGTTAGTTTTGTTCAACTTAAACTTGATATTACTGATAAAATGACTCTTAACGGTTTAAGTTCGTCAAATAGTTTTTTAACAAATGAAATACTTGTTATGCTTAACCAATCATGTCTCGAAAACAAATTGGCAGAAAACAAAAAAGAATTTAGTCGAAGCAAAAAAAGAACTATTTCTCCCGGAATTCCCGGTGGAAAAAAAAAGAAAAGATTGTCCCCCAACATGTGAAAACACATTTGTATAGGTAATTCGGCGACTGTTTATTTATTTATTTATTTTTTATTAAATATTAAACAAAAGATGTTGGATAAAATTAGAGTAGGCTTTATAATTTATATGAATTAAAAAATTAGTATTAATAAACATTAAAATAAAAAATTAATATTATGAATAAACATTAGAATGAATAAATTAATATTAATAATAAACATTAGAATAAAAAAATTTAAAATAAAATATAAATATTTTAAAAAAAAATCTAATAAAATATGTATTTTATACTTTTAATTTATTATCATTTTTTTAAAAAATGTTTAATGTAAAATTCTATCTATTAATATAAGAAAATAATCAGAGTGACATTGTTGTTATTCAATCATTTCAATTAATTAAAATGATTCTTATATAATAATTTCGTTTGTGTAAAATGCAAATTTTAAATTTCAACTAATCAAAGTAACTGAAAAAAATTTACACTATTGCTATATAAGATTTTTCAATATTTGTTGATCATTTTATTATAAAAAAATTCATGATAGTGTTAGAGGGAAATTGGGTTGGAGCCAATGCGCAAGAATCCCCGAAAACGTGACCAGGATCGTAATTTGGATCGCGACCCCAAAACCGTCGATCGTGTTACCCGATTTTTCCCCATTGTATGCAAGAGAAGCCCCAGCGATCAGCTTATGACGCTAAGCCTGATCCCCCACGAAAGAAACATTGACTAACCTAAAAAGGAAGAAAGTCAAGGCAGAATTAATACAACGCGCAACAAGAAAAGGGCGAAATGACTCACCTTCACAAGCTCATGGCTAAGCCTTGGTACCGCGAAGATAATTTTTGGGTTATGTGGCTGCAATACTATGGGCGGGACCTACAAAATAAAGAAGTTAATGAAAAAAGGGAAACACGAGTCAAGGAACGGTTCAGAGGAGATTGTGAAAATGAAGAGAAAAAGGAAATATTAGTAAGACAAAAGGGAATAAGCCACAGAATGCTTCCCTTAAAAATTAGTTATAAAAAGTTCTCCTGTTGTCTGGAGTTAGAGAATAACCCCCTTCGCCTCTTGACCATTGTAATAAGAAATTTAAATAAATAAATATTAAAACAAAAGTTGTCATAAACATAAAATTCATTATTGTCGATTTTGTTGTATCATGTAACGTGTTTAATTGCCTTACCTTGCCAAATCGTTCCCGCCTCACAAAATTCATTGAATAATGTTACTCGAAGACCTGGAATTTCGAGCGACTAACTCGCCACTTTTCTCTCCTTCAGTTTTGGTAGTGACTGTGAGATACGCAATGCTAAAAATAAGACAATGACGTTCCTACCTCCTCCCCCCCTTCCCCCCCCTCCCCTGATAAAAAAAATAAAAATAAAAAAAAAAAGAGGAAGAAAATTTTTTAGAAAAGAAAAAGAAAGGACCAAAGAACTGAGTCCGAAGAATAAAAAGAAAAAGGATTAAAAAAAAAAAAAAAAAAAAAGAAAAGAGGAAGAAAATTTTTTTAGAAATAAACTAACAAGATGAACCACGATGAAGAACGAAACAACAACCAACCCTATAACCACCGCAGTGAAGGAAGTAGAACACTAGTAGAACCCTACCATCGGAATAACAATGGAAATAACACCTTACTATACCAGAACTCAGAACCCCTCCAGGCTATCCTAAGAGAAATTGCTACCGCTTTTTGAGAAGCTACCGCTGGAGTTGCTGCTGCTGCCCGCCTACTTGGAAGAGAAACTAACCTAGTCACTATTGAAATTTTTAAAGGTAAAGAAGATGAAGATCTTCTTAAATGAATCAAAACTTTTGACCGTACTGCTGATGCTAATAATTGGTCCTGTGAACAAAAAATAAAGATAGCCTCTGGCTACCTCCGTGGTGTTGCTGCTAGTTGGTATAATGGAATCAAAAATGACCTCGAATACTGGGATAACAAACATGACCCCAATATAAGCTTCATCCCCCTTTTTGTATAATATTTCGCCACCTCCGAATGTCGAAAAAAATGATAGACAAACTGAAGCTTCAAATCAACGAACCCTCAACTACCATTATTGTAACCGCCAATTGAATCTGAGTTCGAGCCCTGAGGAGGATTAAAGACCTGAAATTAGCCCTTGGTAGTATAATAGTTCCTACCACTTTCTGTATAATCAAATCGACTGATGATATGTTGCTCCTTGGTATGAACTGGTTCAAAAAAGCTCGTGCCCGCTTATACTTCGATGAGTGAAAGCTCTTTATTAATTATATGAGACAATTCGCTGAAGTTTTATTTTCACATGAGGGAGACCCGCCCCTTCCCAAAACCGATAAAGAAGATAGATCTGAAGGAATGTTTGATGAATTTGAATACGAAGATGAAGAGTTGGAAGAAGCCGAAGATTATTTCACTAAAGAAGTCCCAAGTGACAAAATCTACGATAATCTGTGGGAAAACTATTTTAGCCCAACTGTTTACCTAGCCGATATTGAAGAACTACTGATTGCTAAAAAAGACCCTGAAGAAAAAACCCTAGAAGAAAAAATAGAAAGAAACATTAATACCGAAGACCTGATACCTGAACAACAGGAAGAAGCCTATACTCAACTTATCTAAGAAATGAGTATTTTCACAAAAGACATGAGTGATCTAGGACAAACAAATGTATTGGTCCATGAAATTGACACCAGAACTGCTGCCCTGATCAAACAAGTATCATACTATGCTGCCCCTAGTGTAAGAACCTTTATTAAAAGGGAAATTGAACAATTAAAAGAAAAAAGGTTAATAAAGGAATCAAAAAGCCCTTGGGCTTCTCCTCTCGTCGTAGTTCCTAAAAAGGTTGATAAGCTTTGCCTAGGTGTAGACTTCCAGAAGGTAAATTCGGTAATGAAAAAGGATGCCTTCTCATTTTCCCAGATAGATTATTTACTAGAAGTCTTTAGTAATGCGTCTTGGTTTTTCACGCTGGACCTGATATCAGGCTATTGGCAAGTTCGAATAAAAGAAAGTGACCAGGAAAAAACAGCATTTGCTACAAGTTTCAGGACGTACGAATTTCAGGTCATACCTTTTGGCCTGTGTAATGCGCTCATGACATTTCAGCGCCTGATGAATCACGTTCTAGCTGACTGTATTGAGGAGTTTGTTGTCATTTATTATGACGACATTATCATTTAATCCCGAATGTTTGAAGATCATATGATCTACCTGAACACTGTTTTTAAAAAATTAACAAACGTTGGTCTGAAATTAAACATAGACAAATGCTCTTTTTTAAGTCTCACCTGCAGTTTCTAGGTCACGTTATAGGCTGTACTGGTATTTGTCGCGATGTAAGTAATATAGAAAAGGTAAAAATTTTTCAGTACCCCAAAACCTCTGTCAACTCCGTGGTTTTATTGGTTTGGCTTCATACTATCAGAAGTTTATTCCTAAATTCGCCTCCATTACCTATCCTCTTTACTATCTATTAAGAAAAGATGTTAGTTACGAATAAAACAAGAGCAGGAAAATGCATTCGAAACTTTAAAATGATACCTAACATCTGACCTGATACTAAGACACCCGAATTTCAACAAAACATTTATCATTCACGCTGATGCCTCTGGATTTGGATTAGGTGCTATCCTCACTCAAAAAGATGACAATGGAAAAGAATATATTATCACGTATATTAGTCGAGGACTAACTAAAGCCGAATGTAATTATACTATCACTGAATTGGAGTGTCTGACTATTTTATGGTCAATCAAATACTTTTGGCATTATTTTGGCCTCGACCTCTTCGTAGTTGTAAGTGACCACGCCACCTTGAAGTGGCTTCAAATCTTCAAACTTAATGGTCGAAGAACCAGATGGATACTGAGGATACAGTCATATAATTTTAAGATTATCCATCGGAAAGGTTGAAAGCATAACAATGCAGATGCATTGTCTCAAAGCCTCAAAAATATGAAAGAAACTGTCACCTCGACTCTAAACAAACAAAGAAAAAGAAAGAGAGAAGATTAGTACAAAAACAAACAAACAATATTGTGAAAATAATATTAAACAAAAAAAAAAAAAAAAAATATAATTATCGAAAAATCCAAACCAGGTTACTGGTGTTTTGGTAAAACAAAAAAAAAAAAAAAAAAAAAAATTTTTTTTTAATTAAATTTT